TGTAAACGGACTCTCAACATTTATTGTAATTTTAGATTGAAAAGGACTGAAAATAAAGTCGAAACGTCTCACAATTTAAATAGTATATATTAATTCTGCACATCATCCTGCAACGGCTTATTTATTGCCTTTTAAAATTATAATATATTGGTAAGAACATTAATATTTAATTAAAAAAAAGAAATTGAACAAGTTATTCTGGTGCGCCAAAATATTGGTTTTCCGGCTCTCTAAAGGTTAAAAGCTTTCTTGTCATTCCCGGTTCGTTCTCAATAAAATCAGATGGTGCAAAATGAAGATAGCAAACTCTGCTGGCACTCGATGGTTGCCAATTAGCTTGTTGTATTGCTGCTATCCACTGTGCTAAAAGTTCCTCATTTTTGAGAAATCTAAAACATTTAATCAATATTAAACTGTATATAATGCTGGATTTATCTGTTAATAAAATAAAATTAAGTTACTTACGAAAAGAATGTATGGCGCATCCTTTTTTATATATATTTATGCATTGCTTTACTGCACATCTCATATTGTTATCTTGATAAATAACTTCGAGTCTGATACATAATTCAACAAAACACAGGATTGCAAACACAAGATTGCAAATATCACAAAGATTGTACGCATTTTTCGCAGTTTCCGTGTGTTGCGAGGGTCGTACAATACTTGTGATCATTACACTCATTGGCGTAGAACATAAAAATTAAAAATTTCACGTTCCAATCTATTATTAAGTCCGCCGCCTATGCGGCTCAGAAGTACATGGCTTTTTGGTACACGCAATCTAGGGAATACATAAGGAACCTCGCAATCTAGTATATTTAAATTGACTAAACTTACAAATCTTACTTCAAACTGTTCTTCATTATTTATATAAGTTTTAATTTTAAACTTTCCTATAAGAAAACTTTATTTTAGTTTACTGTATACAAAATATACAATGTGTGACATCTCAAAAACTTTACCTTTTCAACAAAAAAGGAAGACCAGGCGCCAAGTACACGCACAACACACGTATTGTATTTAAACTAATAAATCAAAAATTTATTTTGTATAATACTACAAAACATTCTTTTTCTATAAAACCTGTTTTACACAATTATATACTACAAAACATTCTTTCTCTAAAAATCTGTTTTACAAAAGAAGTGATATCAAAAAGTAACACCAAGTAAACTTTTTTGTATTGTACGTTTTTTACATATTACAAAACCTCGTTTATCAAATCTGTTTTACAAAAGAAGTGATATCAAAAAATAGCACCAAGTAAATTTTGTACGTTATTTTTTTTTTATATAAGCCCTGTTCCGTTATTACTGGCAGTACTGAAAAATCTATAGAATACGTAACGTGAACCTATATATTTTCACTACTGCCAGTAATAACGGAACAGGACCATAGAAAAAACAATCTGCAGAGAACTGCAAAATAATACAAATAAAGTCTCGCAAAAGACGACTTCTACGCATTCAGCGATCTTGCAAATCAAGACCTCTGCATATTTATTACCATACATATTTTTATTAACATACGTGACAAATGTTACTCGCGAGTAACGAAGAACGCGTCTGCAATGTATAGCGATAAGTTTAAAAGTTACGCCGTTACTCGTATATATGTTATGTACGGGGAGGACCCAGATGCGCACAGAATCAGAAACAGACACGGCAGGGTGTATCAATCGGACACAGACTCAATCGGACACAATAAGAAACAGACACATGACAGTCTCAATCGGACACAGACACAATCGGACACAGTTTCAATCGGACACAGTTGCAATCGGACACAGACGCAATCGGACACAGTCTCAATCGGACACAGACGCAATCGGATACAATCTCAATTAGACACAGATTAAGACTGTGTCCGTTTGTGACTGAGTCCGATTGAGAATGTGTCCGATTGCGTCTGTGTCCGATTGAAATTGTGTCCAATTGGGACTGTGTCCGATTGCGACTGTGTCCGATTGAGATTGTATCCGATTGCGTCTGTGTCCGATTGAGACTGTGTCCGATTGCGTCTGTGTCCGATTGCAACTGTGTCCGATTGAAACTGTGTCCGATTGTGTCTGTGTCCGATTGAGACTGTCATGTGTCTGTTTCTTATTGTGTCCGATTGAGTCTGTGTCCGATTGATACACCCTGCCGTGTCTGTTTCTGATTCTGTGCGCATCTGGGTCCTCCCCGTACATAACATATATACGAGTAACGGCGTAACTTTTAAACTTATCGCTATACATTGCAGACGCGTTCTTCGTTACTCGCGAGTAACATTTGTCACGTATGTTAATAAAAATATGTATGGTAATAAATATGCAGAGGTCTTGATTTGCAAGATCGCTGAATGCGTAGAAGTCGTCTTTTGCGAGACTTTATTTGTATTATTTTGCAGTTCTCTGCAGATTGTTTTTTCTATGGTCCTGTTCCGTTATTACTGGCAGTAGTGAAAATATATAGGTTCACGTTACGTATTCTATAGATTTTTCAGTACTGCCAGTAATAACGGAACAGGGCTTATATAAAAAAAAAATAACGTACAAAATTTACTTGGTGCTATTTTTTGATATCACTTCTTTTGTAAAACAGATTTGATAAACGAGGTTTTGTAATATGTAAAAAACGTACAATACAAAAAAGTTTACTTGGTGTTACTTTTTGATATCACTTCTTTTGTAAAACAGATTTTTAGAGAAAGAATGTTTTGTAGTATATAATTGTGTAAAACAGGTTTTATAGAAAAAGAATGTTTTGTAGTATTATACAAAATAAATTTTTGATTTATTAGTTTAAATACAATACGTGTGTTGTGCGTGTACTTGGCGCCTGGTCTTCCTTTTTTGTTGAAAAGGTAAAGTTTTTGAGATGTCACACATTGTATATTTTGTATACAGTAAACTAAAATAAAGTTTTCTTATAGGAAAGTTTAAAATTAAAACTTATATAAATAATGAAGAACAGTTTGAGGTAAGATTTGTAAGTTTAGTCAATTTAAATACAGTATTTTGTATACAGTGAATAAACTAAAATAAAGTTTTTTATAGTAAAGTTTAAAACTAAAACATATAAATAATGAAGAACAGTTTGAGGTAAGATTTTTAAGTTTAGTCAATCTAAATACAGTACGTGTTGTGCGTGTACTTGGCGCCTTTTTTTACCTTTTTNGAAAAGGTAAGTTTTTCGAGATAGTACACATTCTTTATCTTAAAACAGATGTTTTATAGAAAAAGAAGTTTTAGTAAGGTAAAAGTCCCAGTAAGTGACCATTTAAGAGTATACGGAAATATATCAATAGCGTAATGTGTAAACTTAATTTTATAATACAAAAAATTGTTGTCAGTTAGAAAGATAATATTGTTAG